TATTCAAGGTCATATTTTGGCTCTCATGGACTTGTTTTAATTGTCTTCAACTTCAAGTTGAACTTGCATATGAGCAGTTGATGATCTGTTCCACAATCAGCTCCTGGCCTGGTTTTGGCTGAAGATACTGAGCTTTTCCATCACCTCTTGCCACAGATGTAATCAATCTGATTCCTGTGTACTCCATCTGGCAAATTCCATGTGTATAGCCACCATTTGTGTTGTTGAAAATGGTATTTGCAATGAATAAGTCATTGGTTTTGCTAAATTCTATCATACGATCTCCAGCATTATTTCTGTCACCAAGGCCAAATTTTCCAACTAACAGTGATTCTTCTTTGTTTCCAACTTTTGCATTCCAATCACCAGTGACAAGCAACACATCTTGATTGCATGTTTGGTCAATTTCAGATTGCAGAAGTTGATAAAAATCTTCAATTTCCTCATCTTTGGTGTTGGTTGTTGGTGTATACATTTGAATAATAGCAGTAGTAACAGGTCTTCCTTGTAGATGTATGGATATTATTCTATCACTGGCAGCATTGTACTACAGAACAGATCTTGAAACATCCTTTGTGAAGACGAATGCCATGCCATTCTACTTCAACTTGTCATTCCCAGCATAGTAAATCATATGGCTGTCTGATTCAAAATGGCCAAACCAGTCCATTTCAGCTCAGTAATGCCTAGGATATCAATCTTTATGTGTTCCATTTAATTTTTGACAACTTCCAATTTTCCTAGAATTATTAATGGATGTTTGCAGCTGTTTCTCCTCAATTTGAGTCGTGCCACGTCAGCACATGGAGATCCTGAAAGATTTACTTTATCCATTTCATTAGGGTTGGTTCTACTCTGATGGGGCAGCTCTTTCCCAGTCCTATTTTGAGTGCCTTCTGGCTCAAGGGGCTCCTCTTCCTGCACTGTGTCAGACAATGTTTCCAAGCTATTCATAAAGTTGCCCAGTAATGTATCAGTGTTTCTCTGTATTCCTAAGGTTTTCCCTGGCCAATTTTTGAGAAGTGGATGGCCTCCTTCTTCTTCCTAGTCTGTCTTAGTCTGTAAGCTGCATTGAAACCTGTGTACCATGTGCAACTCTGCTGGCATCTGAAACACCAGTGGCACAGCTTCAAGCCTCACACAATGTACAAGCCCCACAGGATGACAAACCGACAGACAAGTTTGTCTCCCTCGGCTGTTGGAAATCTCTGCACCCTCCCCTTATCTAATTCCTACCTGGAACCTGCCACTTTGTGGTCCCCAGCTGTTCCCTCCCTTTCCTGGCTCTAGGGGGCTGGGGCCTACCCTTGCCTCCTGCCCCTTTACCTGGCTCTAGGGGGCTGGGGCCTACCCTTGCCTCCTGCCCCTTTACCTGGATATCCTGCTGCTCCTGAGGTACCCAGTCGCTCCTGCCCCCTCCCTTTTCTGGCTCTAGGGGGCTTGGGGCAAGGCTGTAGAGGAATGGAATTCATGCACTGCTGATGGGGATGTAAAATGGTGCAGCAGCTTTGGACAACAGTCTGGCAGGTCCTCAAAAGGTTAAACATAGTGTCATCATATGACCCAGCAATTCCACTCCTAGATATAGACACCCAAGAGAAATGAAAACCTATGTCCACACAAAACCCTGTATGCGAACTTTCATAACAGCATTATTTATAATAGCCAGAAAGTGGAAACAACCCAGTCTATCAGTTGATGAGTGGTAAGCAAAATGTGGGACCGCCATGCAATGGCCTATTACTCAGTCATAAAAAGAAAGTCATGTGGGCATATGCCACAAGGAGGACCCTTGGCAACATAATGCTGAGTGAAAGCAAGACACAAAAGGCCCCATATTTCATGATTCCACTTCTATGAAGTATCCAGAATAAGTGGAAAGCGGATTCGTGATTGCTAGGAGGTGGGTGGTGTGAGGAGGACAGAATGGGGAGTGATTGCTAACAGATATGGGATTAAAATGCTCTCAAATTAGATAGTGGTGATGGTCACCCCATATTAGGAGTAGACTAAAAACCAGGAAATGTTAAAAAAAAAAAAAAAAACTGACGTTTATTGAGTAACAACTTCTTAAGCTCATGCAGGTAAGGGTCATGGCAAGACTGTGAGGCTGGGAGAGCCAGCTGTACAGCTAGGAAAGTCCAGACAGGATCTGACCTGCTCAACACTCCCCAGCTGCAAGAAACACTGCCATCCAATTCTGTCGAGCCCACCCTCCACCATCTTTCTCTTGTGTTGTCTAAGGCCATCTTGTTTGCTCAGACCATTTACCAGCCACGTGACCTTCAAGAACCTCAGGCCAAGCCGTAGTTTCCTAATCTATCACAGCAGAGTCTGACCCCGGCCCATCCACAGCCTCAATCATACTGCACAAAGCACAAAGCCAAGTTCTCGTTTCCAGAATGGTTGTTGGGTTCCTAATCCACAGCTGTTCCAAGTCTACCCACCATGTTCCTGTAACTATACATTTAGTTTACTGTCTGTGGGGTCAAGGTACTTCACACAAGAGCAAGTGGAGACTAGCTCCCCATGGTGAGGGAACTAGGGTGCCTGTGTGCTGGATGAGAAGGGCCTTCACAGATCAGGTGGCGACTGGCTCCTCACAGTGAGGGGTCTGGAGGGGCTATGGACGAGGGTGGACCTTGTACCACAGGATTCACAGACCTCTCCTCAGAGAGGTCCTGTCCTGCTTCTCTATCCTTCCCACAGCACCAGAGGCCCCCAAGCTGGGCTTTCTGAGATAGTGCTTGAATATGCCTTCTCTGGTTGGTAGTGGCTACCCATCCCTTGTGATCATCGGTGGCTCTGTGGAAGAACTCTCCCCTACCCTGTGAGAGGCCTGGGTTTGTATTCCCGGCCGGTGCCTCTCCTGTGCAGCTAACACCCGTCTGTCAGTGGACACGTGGGTGTTGCTGTGCTGCCGACAGGTTTCAGTGGAACTGCCAACTAAGGTGGTCTAGGAGAGGTCCGGTATTCTACTTCGGTAAATCAGCCAATGAAAGCACTGGAGATCACAATGGTCTGATCCGCAACTGATCACAGTGATGGGTGGGACCAGGCAGTGTCTCAATACACTGCAGGGGGTCACCTGAGTCAAGGGCCAACTCAACGGCAGCGAATGACAAGCACCACTCCCCTCACCAAGAGGCCTGCAATCTCTTGGTTCTTAGCAAATGAACTGATCTCACGACTAATTGTCACTTATCCACTAATTCCCATCAGATGGGGCTGCCCTGAGTTGGAATCGACTTAACAGCAACTAGTAACAACCAAAAACATACCCACTGGTATCAGGTGGATTCTGACTCACAGCATCCCTAGAGGACAGAGTAGAACTACCCCAGAGAGTTCCCAAGGCTGTCAAGCTTTACAGAAGCAGAGCGCCTCATCCTTCTCCCACAGAGCAATGCTGTAACTACACTGCCACCAGAGGTCCTTAACAACAAGTGGCAAGAACAAACGAAAGCTCTGGGATTCTGATAAAGTCCTGCCTGTATGTTTATTTGGGGCAGTTCTCAGAAAAAAAAAAAAAGGCAAGGTATTTTCTCTCTCATAAACCATATTGTCTTTTTCCCCTTGATAACAAGGATCTTTCGAAATAATTCTAAAAGTAACCAGCCAACAGCCGGCTTAGGCTCCTGCCTGCCCAACTCCCTAAATTGGGGAATGTATACAGTACATTTTTCCATCATAATCTCCACTGTCAACTAAAAACAATCACAAGCTGCCCACCAGTCTCTAAAGCATAGAACACACATGCCCAGGTGACATGCCAGCTCATCCTCCCCCCACCACCACCGTGGCCGTGGGGACTCCATGAGTGACAAACTGAAGACTGCAGAATCACCTCCTGTGAGCTCGTGCTTCACAGGTGAGGCTGCAGTCCGACTGCTTCTGCACACCTCACCTTCCAGTAACAATCTTTTGCATGGAGTCACAGCCCTGCTCCGCCGGTGAAGGGAAGCATGAGACCTCAACAAATGCACACCCAGGACAGCAGCCCACCCTCCCGGTGTCCTGGGAGACCCTCACTCCCCTACTCCCTGCCTCAAACCCAACAAAGACCCTGAAGACAGCGCTTTTTCTGGAACCACAAGGGCTCTGGAAGATTCCAAGAGCTTGGCAGAAGTTCAGAAGTCTGCCTGCTTTCTCCTTTCCTGATGCTGATGAGGCTAGCAGGGAGTGATCATGAAATTTAAGGAGTCACACAGTCATATTTGTTAACGGACAGCCAAAATGCCATGTCCCTCTTCAGATATTGGTGGTACATCTATAAATATTTTAAACTGTCCACATTCCCTTTGTGCAATTTCACAGCAAATTCTACTCTCAGGACAATCAGGAGGAAGCCAGCGTAGACAGCTTCAAGATTCCTAGCTTCCCCCTCCCCTGCACATCTCCCCTCAACAACTCGCAGCCCCACATGGGGCGGGCACCACCCTGCTTGAAAAGCTCACATTTTTCTCACCTGCTCCCTTGTGAGCAGATTGGGCCCAGAATGTAAAAATGACCCCCTCAAGGCGCCAGTAAGCAAGTAGCTCCAGCTAGAGCTTGGACCAACCTCTCTTATATTCCATCAGATCCACCTGCCCCAGGTACTACTGGCCACAGCCAAGCCCTCTGGCACATCCCCCTCATTTGCAGTGAACCAAGAACCTTGCCAGCTCTGCCTCTCACGCAGTTACGCCGAACAGCAGTGAGTCCACACCTCAAAGCACAGGAAACCATTTGGTAGGACACAAGTATTAAAAAAATAAGCTGCATGACATTTATTTTGTCTTGTTAACATTAATATTGGTAGAAACATTTTATTGTCAGTATAAAAATTAACAGGTTTTATTAAATACTTTCTCCAATTTCTGAACACGTAGAATCAGTGTAATCTGCATTCATGTTGCATGGCTATAACAAGGGGAGGAGGCGTTTCAGAAGCAAACCCAACACTCTGATACAGAACAATGAACAGAACGACAAAGTTTGGTCTGAAGTCACCAGTATCCGGCCGGATCTGTTTGAGAGGTCCTGCCAGGAGGAGATGGAAGCCATCCCTTGAAAAGATGGAAGATCCCAAAACTATCAGCAGGACATCTCTGGGTTTCAATGTCCAATTGTGGGACTTGATGATCTTAAAAGGCTTCCTGAAGGCAAAGACTCTGGAAGCCATTACTCAATGCAGGGACGATGGGCTGAGCTGATTAACGTGCAACCTGGGGGCAGAAGGCCAGTGGCCAGCAGAGGAGTGTGCTCTGTGGTCCTTGAGGAATGGATTAAGGCATCTTCTGCAGAGGACGCTGGTACCAAGTGTCCTGGGAAATACAGTTAAATGTTCCATGGGCCCATGACAGACCCTCACCTGGAAGCAAAATGCCTTCTTATTAAAGGATGGGCAGGTAGGTGGTGCAAGTTTCGACTCAAATAAATCCAAACTTCACTCCCCCTCAAATTAGTCAGATATTGTCAAGATTTCTTTAAGCATCTGGCGACTAGTTAAGTCTGAGCAACAGGTTAACTAGTCCACTGTGCTGCCTGCATAGGAATGCCATTTAAATTACAAAAAAAAAAAAAAAAAAAAACCAACTATAAATGATTAATTGTTTTGTATATTACCAATTCATTAATAAATTAATGTTATACCATTTTCCCTGAAAGCAAAAGTATTTTTTCCACCTCTGCTCGGTGAAAATTAAGAAATTCTGCGTAAGAACAGCATTTAGCAAATAGCTATTTTTAAAAAGAGACCAATTTTCTAGGTGCACTGGGACATCCATTTAAAATCAATACAAAAAATAATTCCTTGTAAATATATAATATATATTTATACATTATTTGAATATATTTACATACATCCAGCACCTATAGACTGCATTTGTGCTCTGTGTGTGTGTGCTGACATATATTTTCTCCAATTATTACAAAATTAACAAGGAAGGCAGAACCTGTGTTCGCCTTGAGTCCAACTGGTCCACAGCCAGTGCCCATCCGTCGCCTGGTGGCGGCGGGGCGGAGGGGTCACGTGGCGAGCCCGTGGCAGTCCACTGTGCCATAAACATTCTTCTCTTCCTGATGAAGATTACAAGTTCTCGACTGTCGAACTCTTTACACCTGTGTCACTACTTTCCCAATTATATACTCCTCTGATCCATATATACAAGCAGACACAACAAGCTCTTGGAGACAAAGCCCCCCTGCCCGGCACAGGTAGGTGCCTGGTGCTGTCCTGTTTGCAGACAGGAGGACACCTTCGCTCAGGCTTTAACACTGCTGCTTATGTGTGGATACTGAGGAAGGCATGGATCATAAGGCATGGGGTCCGGAGAGAAAACAGAGTCATCTCCTGAAGAACAAGAACTCCTTGTGTCAGGGTAACTGGGTGAATACTGTTCGAGAGGCTGCGTGAGGTCCAAGTAGTCCTGCAAGAAGGGGAGAGAGACGTTTTATTTCATCTTGGGTCAGGATAACAAGGTGAATACGGTTCGAGAGGCTGCGTGAGGTCCAAGTAGTCCTGCAAGAAGGGGAGAGAGACGTTTTATTTCAAACGCAGGCTCCCAAGATGCTGACATCGGAGCTGGTATAGGACAGGGTGCCCCTCGGAGCTTTAGAGACCCAGTCCATGCCAGCTCTTCACAGAGACCTCCCTAAGTCCCCAACTTTATTGAGCCCAGGCCTTCCACCTATCTGTTACAGCCCATTATGAATAAACTATTTGCAATAGAAAACAATGAAACTCTGTGGAACTGTATGTGTGTGTGTGTGTGTGGGGGGGGGCTCGACTCAATTTAAACCAGTTGCCATCAAGTTGCCCCCAACTCCTGGCGACCTATGTGTGTCAGAGAACTGGTTCTCACAGGGTCTTTACTGGTCGACTTTTCTGAGGTAGATTGCCAGATCTTTCTTCCAAGGCACTTCCAGGTAGACTCAAACCCCCAACCTTTTGGTTAGCAGCCTAAGGCATGAACCACCTACACCACCTAGGGTGTCCCCAACTCACACTTACTCAGACCTAGACTGGCCTGCTCCCTACACATACACTTCCTCCAAGACTACATGGTTCAGGTTCAAGCCCCAGCAAAAGTCAGAGTCACAACGTGTTGTGGATGTGCCAGCTCTCTCTGCAGAGCTGAGGCTACGAAATGACACTTCACCATTATAGTTCCTGAGATACTTCGAGGGAGACACTTCCTCACTCAGTGGGTAATTTAACAGGTGTAATTCATTATTCTCAGAAGCTCTCCAATTTGAAAATGTAAACAGGTTCCAAAAGGCTTGTGTAGGCTGAATCCCGTAACAGGCTGTTAAAGAGAAGCTTAGGGAACGGGAGGTTCAGTGCGACTGTTCTCAAGATCTGAAATCCAGGAAGTGCCATTGTGCACTCGAAAGCATCCATTGGTGTGCTGGGGGATGAGCCCACCGCCTTAGGGCAGGGCTAGAGACGATGGGGTGAGTGGAGAGGAGTTGGCAAACACGGCCCACGTGACAAATCCATCCAATCTGGCCCGCTGCCTGTACCACCCATGAACCAACAGTGGCTTTTACATTTTTAAAAGGCTGAAAAGCATCAGCAGAAGGAAGCTATCTCAGGACAGTAAAATGACATCCAATTATAAAAATTCATATACGAGTATATAAATTCAAAGTTCAGGGTCCATAATCAAGCTTTACTGGAGCACACACACTCTCATTCATTTACTGTTGATGGCTGCCTGTGCCCTACAGTGGCCAAGCAGAGAGGGTACGACAAGGACCGAACGGCCTGCCGAGACGGAAACACTGAGTCTCTGCCCTTTACTAAAGTGTGCTCCAGAGCGAGGAGACGATTTCTAAGCTGGGGAGCTTCTGGATCTCCGGGGCCCGGCTGTGCTGGGCGGCTGCGCTCACACACATCCAGGTGCCAAAGCCAGCCCCGTGGCTTTCTGCTGCGAAGGGGCAGAAAGCGCCAAGCACAGCACAAAGGGCCTGTGTTATCAGAAGAGAGTCCACGGAATGTTGGCGACTACACGTTTAAAAAAAAAAAAAACCACTATAATTCATCACCCGGGTTGGCAAGAGACAGAGTCCCGATCCGAGATGGGGGATGTGTCAGTTCCAACAGCACCAGCAGTAACCGCACGACTGGAAACAAACCCGCCCACCACATCAAAAGAGAGCTTTTTGCTTACAATGATAAAAATGAAATTTGGTCCTAAAAGGAAGCATTTTTCTCCAGCATGTGGGAGTGATTTTCAGAAGGAAAGAAACTTCGATTTTTATATCCGTTAGACAATATGGCATTCTGCGCTCTGTATTTTAGGATACCAGATAGAGGCTTCGGTAGGAACAGGACCACTTTGCATGTAAATATATAAATAAACAGCCCTGAACACGGACACAGGATCATTAAAACAGAGCTTTACTGCTTTCTCCCAGTTTCCAAACGAAGCCATAAACTTTCAGATCTGATAGGAAAAACTAGGGATTTCAGTGGATTCCAAGTCTAGGGTTAAAGGAACTTACGCTAGAAACAACAATTTTGGCAGGAGAAGAAAAGTTTTTTTTTTTCTCTGCTTTTCCCAAGTCTTGAACTTCAACTTTCCTTTCAACTTCTGAAGGTCAGCTGTATCCATTTAAATGCAATCCCCACCCCACCCCCAACGCAGGCCAGGGTCAGACACACCAGATAAAGTTGCTGGAGCGAACCTTGCTATCACCACTTTCAAAAACCATCCTAACAGCTAGCTTCTAAATCAGAAATTAAGAGTATTATTTTCCTTCTAGAATCTCGGGGGTTGTATTTTAACTTCTTTTTGTTAAGAGCTCTGGTGACATAGTGTCTAACACATCTGATTGCTAACCAGAAGGCTGGAGGTTCAGACCTACCAGTCACTCCTAGGGAGGAAGGTTGGGCAATCTACTTCCATAGTGCTACCGCCTCGCAGGGAGCTCTGATGGCGTAGTGCCTAAGACACCTGACTGCTAACCAGAAGGCTGGCGGTTCAAACCCACCAGCCACTCCTCGGAAGGAAGATGGGGCAATCTAGTTCCGTAGTGATACTGCCTTGGAAACCCAAGGAGGGGTCGCTATAAGTCAGGGCCGACTCAACAGCACATAACAACAACAACAACTGCCTCGGAAACCCAAGGAGGGGTCGCTATAAGTCAGGGCCGACTCAACAGCACATAACAACAACAACAACTGCCTCGGAAACCCAAGGAGGGGTCGCTATGAGTTGGGTCCGACTTGACGGCAGTGGGCTTGGGCTTTAAGACAACGCTGTCGCTGCTTTTCTGTGAAGGAACATCTCCAGGAACTAGCTTGCGTTCACTTGCTCAAGATTCCTCACTCTCGTGGGGCCTGACTGGACCTCACTGGCTTGTCACCTTTGTGATACGCGCAACTGTCCTGTGTGTCCTTCCAGCACCACCTCCACACGAGCTGCCAAGTCAACACTGACTCCTGGCAACGCCACGTGTCTGAGCAGAACTGGGTTCGGGAGGGTTTCCGTGGCTGACTTTTCAGAAGCAAATCGTCGGGCCTTTCTCTAAGGCACCTCTGGATGGACCTGACCTCCCACCTTTCGGTTAGCAGGTGAGGGCGTTAATTGGGACTCCCTGGAGTACACTCTGCATAATCATGAAGGTGAGTTGGAGAAGTCAGTGCAATAGTGAATTCAGTGGGAATAATAATTTTAGCTGATAAAGATTCCAAACGTCTTATAGTAACAAAAGGTGTGCTTCCTCATGTAAGAAAACATGTTATAGGAACTGTGTGTATGACCGCATACACATAGCTAGAGACCACGAGTCATACCCCATGACCACCAGGGATCTCGACAGACCATGCCATGTGGTTCAGAAGCTAAGCTTACAGCTTCTGGTGCTCAGTGAAGCTAATCCCTAATGGAGTATCAGCAGTCCTCAGCCTACTGGGCAGGGCACAGCACCAAACAAGGCCGAAATCCTGCTGCTCCCCACACAAACCCAAATGCTGCACTGGAACATTTCTCCCCGGCCCCTCACTCTCCTGTGCACGCGTGTGCAGGCACACACACACACACACACACACACCCTGGCCCCACCCTCCCACCCACCACTGTAAAGCCACAGTGAGGTGTAGCCTCGGGCATGTCTTCTGTCTGGGGGCATGAGTCAGAACTCACAAAACACAGTTCTGAGAAACTCAGAATGTGATGGGAACACATAGTTTCACTCTGCCTGACCCTGTGGAAGAATGATAAACTCCACCACAGACCCCAACGGGCAGGCCACTGTTGGACAGCCGGGCTTCCTCCCTGAGCCAGGCAAGGATGGTAGGCGTCCTGACTGAGGTCCTCTTACCTCGTTGGTGGTGAGAGTAAGGATTCGATCCAAGTCTTCCACCAACTGCTTGAATGTTGGTCTCTGAGAGGGTACCGCGTGCCAGCAGTCCCTCATCATCATGTACCTGGAAAACAGCGATGGCCGGGTGAGCTCACCTTGCTGGCACTCGGCACACAGCTGTAACCACATCTAATGGGCAATATGGAGATGTCCTCTAAGTTATACAAGTGTCTCAGAACTTCCCAAGTTAGGAGATGGCACTCATGTTCCCTAGAGTCTCAGCTGGGGTTCCTCTGAGAGGGGCTTTGATTGACCAGAACAGTGCTTTAAGGCAAACGTGTTAGGAATGTATCCATGCGGTGAGGACAGGTCTGCATGTCTCCACTGCTAACTGGTATCTCAATTACAGGGTGACCTCATCGTGGGATTAATAAACCCCACCTGCAAGGCAATCTCAGGGGCCAGGGGAAGGCCACAGGGGAAGGCCACCCACCCGTCACCGTCACCCGAAGCAGCTTTATCTTATCTGCCTGACACTTTCGGGTTTTTTAGGATTTTAATTGACAAAGATTCCTCAGTTTTTTCTGAAAAAAAAAAAAAAAAGTGTGATAACTATAGCGTTAAGTTCTAATGAAGTAATTCATCACCCCCAGGCCGCCGCATCTCCACTTCCTGATTAACCCTTTGATGGGCCTAGTTCCCAGGCCTTATCTTGATTATGGGTTTCGACAGATCCTCTTAGCAATAGGAATGGCAAGGAACACAACTGGTGCCTTTATATAATATCCCATAAAATGTGGCCATTCATCCCATGACGCCCACTGTATGCCAAAAAGCACTCATGGGATTACTGGTAGAAAATCCCCATGAAACGACAGACAATAGGCTGCAGTCCTGGGGACAATCACTCTTCTTAGCTAACCCTGGCACGGGGAGGGGAGCCTGCTTCCCAACACACTGATTTTACTGCACAAGACACAGGCCACAAACACAACGTAATTCCCTAATTCCACTTAACGCATGGGGGACGCTTTTTACAACACAGCTAAAGGCTTCCCAGTAAGAAATGGCCTTGTCAGGATGGCAACTGCACTTTTTAACTCTCTGTGGTCTGGTGACGTAGGTTATAGTATAATACATCTGCTGACCAAAAAGTCAGCGGTTCGAACCCACCAGCCACTCCATGGGAGAAAAGATGTGGCAGTCTGCTTCTGTAGAGATTAACAGCCTTGGAATCCCCACGGGGCAGTTCTACTCTGTCCTATAGGGTCGTTATGAGTTGGAATCAGCTCGGTGCAGTGTGTTTTTGGTGCTAAAACATGGGTAAAGTATGAATAACCGGGCACTAGAATGGCAACTTCCAATGGTCAAAAAGAGGGTCCACTCACCACACCAAGGCCAAGCATCAACACCAAGGACAAGGGTTGTTGGTCCTTTGACCCTACGCTCCACCAGGGTAGCCCAATGGCTTCCTAGCCTGATTTCTGACCTGTGTATGAGGGATGGCCACATAGATCTTCCTGTCGTTCTGAGGAGAGACAGTGCATAGGGAGATACCCCAGCTCAGCCTGGAATGCCGGGAGCCTCTGCCGGGCAGCCTGACTCAGCGTGTGATTTAAAGCCCCACACACCTCAGAAGGATGTTCTTTCTTTTGGACAAGGCAGGCCTGTCAATGTAGCTATCTATCTCAGTTCTGGGAACGAACCCAGAAGCCCTCAGCCATCCTTCTCCTCAGAGTGTGTTTAGATGGTCGGGGCCTTAGGGAGCCAAGATAGAAGACGTGTCACTGGCGTGGCCAAGCCACTGCGGCACCAGCGAGGAGACAAGCGTCCTTACAGCTCATTGGTGCAGTTCGCCGGCTTATCCATCCTGTGCCCCTCCTTCAGCAGCTTAAAAAGCTCCTCCACGGGAATGCCTGGGTAGGGTGAACCCCCAAGAGTGAAGATCTCCCACATGAGCACCCCAAAAGACCAGCTGCAAAGAGAAAGCACAGTGTTAACAACCAACCCAACTCACTAGCACCTCAACATCCACTCACTTCTTACACTCAAAGACTCATGCCCTCCCATCGTCCACCCTGACGCCCTTCCCTGCCTCCAGGAGGACCCCCAAATGAGGAGGACAGAGGACAGTCTCACTCTTCCGCAAAGGCATTCTTCTCAAAAACAGTGTTGCCAGGGTGGGCATCCCAACACTAAGCTTCCAAGGCCTTTACGCTCCTGTCCAATTCTCCTGTCTCCCTGGGTGCCTGACTTGAGGGATTTGAGAAAGCTGGTGCTGGGAGACTCCGGTCCCCTGCGGGGCTGGTGGAGTCTCCAGGCACAAAGGTGTTGGGCCTGGCTAAGGTCACAAAGGAGTGAGCACAGGACTGGGATGAGGATGGAGGAGCTAGCGGCCCAGGGAGACGAACTTTATACACCAGAAACTGAAAGCATCTCACTGAACACAATTTATACGGTCCTTTCCGAGAGCCGTGCTGGAACATTCTCAGCCTAGGTCAGGAGGGTCACACCCAGGGGTAATCAGACAGAGAACGCTGACTGCATCTGTGCACCCTCATGCTGGAAACTCACACAAATTATTAAGGAGCCCGGGTGGCGCCACAGTTGGGCACTTGGCTGCTAACTGAAAGGTCGGTGCTTAGAACCCACCCAGGTGTTCTGCGGGAGAGAGGTCTGGCAACCTGCCCTCGTCATGATTACAGCCCAGGAAATCCAAGGGGGCAGCTCTACTGTCACATGGGGTCGCTGCGTTAAAAATCAACCTGACAGCACACAACCTTCTGAGGACGAGTGAAACTGTCCCAGGGTTCCGCAGAGCAAGAGAAACAGCACGGTACAGATGGAAGCGAGCTCCGTGCCTCAGTTTACTCACTGCAGCATGGGGATCTCAACACCTTCCTCCTAGGGCTCTTGAGAGCACCCACTGTGACTGTGTGGGACCTACAGCCACTGAGTAAAAAATGGCTCAACCAAATGTTTTAAAACTGTTTCTTTATAACTTTCTATTTGGGTGTAATTACAGACACACAGGAAACAGCAAAAACAGCACAGAGAGTTACCACACATCCAGCTTCCCCCAATGGTGACATCTTCCAACCAAACTTCCAAATCTAAACTTCTGAAATATCAGCCCACTGTAACAGAAACACCTTGGCTTCTACTCTACTTCTCCAATGTCACTGAGGACGCTGAGACAAGACCAGAAAGTTAATAAGCCCAGCAAGCAGGCCTTGTGGACATAAACTAACTGACCACGCTCACCCAGGGCCGCTCGTGAAAGGCAGACCAGGCCGGAAGGAAAAAAACCCACCAGCCAGGAGGAAAAACTTCGAGATGACTTCCTTATGGGAGAAGAGATGCCAACAGCTTGGCCAATCAGGCAGCGGCTTCGTATCTGCACATCCTGAATGTGTCCCAGGGGAGGGGGCACTTCTGCTCCGGCAGGAGGAGGTTAGCGCCCTCCCCATGTGCTTTGAAGCCAAGCAGATTAGTAACACAGCACTGGGTGCCAGCCTACCATAAAATCCGTCCCTTCTAAGGCCAGCGCCCCCACCTCTATGGATGTGTGAGATGCGGCAGGTACCAAAGGCTGAAGAAAGGTCCAGATTGTAAAGATTCTTGCAGCTCAAGCCGGTGAAGAAACTAGAGCAAAGGGGCTCACTTACACGTCGCTCTGGTGGGTGTAGACTCTATCGAAGAGAGCCTCGGGGGCCATCCACTTGACTGGAAGTCGCCCCTGCAAACGAGGAAGAACACGTAAAATCAACAGATTAAAAACGAGTTTGCTGAGAGGCGCAGCAGGGCCAGGGACTATCTGAAGAGTTGTCACTCTAATGCTTTGTGACTTCTCCTTCAACAGAGCAGAAATAAGCTCCCCTAACCTGTTGCCATGGAGTGGATTCCAACCCGTTGCCACCCTGTGACAGGGTTTTCAAGGCTGGAATCTTCATGTCGTTGTTATGTTGTTAATGTGCCATCAAGTTGGATCTGAGTCCTAACGACCCCTCCTTGGGTTTCCAAGGTGATATCTCTATGGAAGTAGATTGCCCCATCTTCCTTCCGAGGAGTGGGTGGTGGATTTGAACTGCCAGCCTTCTGGTTAGCAATCAAGTGCCTTAGGTACTATGCTACCAGAGTTCCCTGTAATCTTTATAGGAGCTGTAATCTCTTTCCTACAGAGCACCTGGTCAGTTCCAACCGCCAATCTTTCAGTTATCAGTCGAGTGCTTAAACACTGCATCACCAGGGCTCCTCTCACTGATAACTACCCACTGCCATGGAGTCAATTCCAACTCTTAGTGACCCTACAGGACAGAGGAGAACTGCCCCATAGGGTTTCCAAGACTGTCATCTTTACGGAAGCTGACTGCCTCATCTTCCTCCCACAGAGCAGCTGGTGGATTCAAACCACCAACCTTTCAGTTAGCAGTCTAATGTTCAACCACTGCACCAGCAGGGCTGTGGCTTGGTTGCCACTTCACTGGTTTTTACTGGTCCTTCAATGGAGCAGAAAACAAGTTCCCAAGGACTGCATATAATGAGTGAGGGACACAGACCCAGCACATTCATGGAATGTCACTGACTTGGTTTCTGGTGTCATTTATCTCTGTAGCACCCAAACACCCTAACCACCTTCCCAACACAAATGAACCGAGGAAGTTCTCAGTCTCGGCTATGAAAGTCCTGGACAAAGCACCCTCGGAAAAGCAGGGGCTGCTGGTTGCCACGTACGCGAGAATGTGTCGCCTTTCTTAACAGTGCCCACATGTAGCCTCCACCAGCCATCTTGTCAGCATGTCAGGCTGTGGTGGCTGCATGTCACTGTGATGCTGGAAGCTATGCCACCAGTATTTCAGACACCAGCAGGGTCACCCATGGGGGACAGGTTTCAGGGGAGCTTCCAGGTAACAGAGAGTAGGAAGCAACCCTTGATAGTCTACTTCCAAAAATGACCCAATGAAAGCCTGATGGATCCTGAGAATCGTGAGCTCTGGTGGCGGGGTGCCTAAGGCACTTGACTGCTAACCAGAAGGCTGTCAGTCCAAACCCACCAGCCGCTCTTTGGAAGGAAGGTTGGGCAATCTACTTCCGTAGTGATACCACCTCAGAAACCCAAGGAGGGGTCGCTATGCGTCGGGTCCGACTCGACGGCAGTGAGTTTGGTTTTAGAAGGCTTTTGAGTGCTAAGCAGAAGGCTGGTGGTTCAAACCCATCAGCCAATTCTCGGAAGGAAGACTGGGCAATCAACCTCCATAGAGATACTACCTTAGAAACCCAAGGAGGGGTTCACTACAAATTCAGTTGAATCAACTCAATGGCAGTGAGCTGTTTTTTTGTTTTTTTTAGTGCTACAAGATGATGAGCCCCTAGGTTGGAAGACACAACAGCTACACCAGTGGACTGAAACCCAACTACCATCACGAAGTGGTGTGGGACTGGGTGACATTTCGTTCTGTTGTACATAAGATCGCCAGGAGTTGGAGCCAACTCAGTGACAAGCAAATCAAGGGCGGAGGCAGGCACTGTCCGGACCTCCCGGCTCTGCGAATCCCTAGGTGGAACCTCCTGCCTGTCCCTCCGCCCCTGCACAGGTTCACCAGACTTACGTTTGTGGTCTTTTTGTAATAGTCTATGTTGTTGATATCTCTGGCCAATCCAAAGTCAGCTATTTTCATCACATTGTTTTCGGTTACCAAAACATTTCTGGCTGCTAAGTCTCGATGAATACACTGAAATCAAGACGAGAGAGAGAGAGAGAGCTCATTTCAACATGCTCCATGGAAAAACAGCAAATACACACGTATCTTCTAATGCAGACCAACAACACATCTTAAGTCGAAAACAGGTGTTTACTTTCTAACTGAAAATTGAAAAATGGAGGCGTCCACCACTTCAAGGAGCAAAGGCGGACGGAAGCATCCCCTCCATCTACAGAGTGGCTCAACAACCCTGGTGCCTCCCTCGGCTGCACCCCCAACTCAGAGATCACCCTAAAATCCTTCCTCTTGACAGGCTCTCTCCTCCCCTCACAGCTGGACTTTCGCAGAGTTGGTTCAACTCACCCACTGGTGACTCCTCAACTATTCCAACCTGTTTCCCACCCGTCTATGCCTCTTTAAAGTTGGTGAAACCAACCAGGTGCCATTGAGTCAATTCCATTGCATCAGTTCCAATGTGTGGCAACCCCATGTGGACTGAACCTTCAACCGTCTCCTTAGGAGCCAAGTGTGGTAACTGCTTACAGCACGTAGGACACCAAAGCTTACGAAAAACCTCTTAACTGCCAGATCCCTGTAGTGTCTTCTAAACGCCCATTTCTTCCTCTCTGCAGCTCCTGGGACAGTGTTGATCCCTTGCTCATTTCTGAACACCATCTTTCCATTGGGTCCAACCCCCTTCCCCCAAGCTAATTTTCTTCTCATCCCTCAGTCAGTACCCTCTGTTGCTTAAAATAGAGGCACTGTTCCCTTAATTGCCTATATTTCCATATATTCTCATGACTTCAACTCTTCTATACACACAAAACATTTGCAAGTTCACATCTCTACCCTGACCTCTTTCCAGAGACCCGTGTTCTCGGTGGGACATTTCCACAGTGAAGTCCTCTTAATACCTCAAATTCAGGGTTTCAACTCTAATTCTTCTCCTCGTCTCTCTTAACTGGAGTCCCTGGGTAGTGCAAACACTGAATGGAAAGGCTGACAGGCCAAGTGCACCCAGAGGCACCTCTGAAGAGAGGGCTGGTGATTTACTTCTGAAAACCCACGGGAAACCCTGTGGGGCCCAGCTCCACCCTGACGTGGAGCACTGTCCCACCCTGACATGGGCACCCCGTTCCACCCTGACGTGGGGCACCCCGTCCCACCCTGACGTGGGGCACCCCGTCCCACCCTGACGTGGGGCACACCGTCCCACCCTGACTTGGGGCACCCCGTCCCACCCTGACGTGGAGCACCGTTCCACCCTGATCACATGGGGTCACCATGACACAGAATCTACTCAATGGCAGCTGGTTGGGTCCTCCCTTCATCCTCCTCTGCGGCTCTCCCAATTAGGGAGGTGGACAACAGGCCTCCTCTACTCACTCCTCCCAAGCCCTGCTGGTTACAACTCCAAAATCCCTCTCCCACTTTCTTCCCTTCCCACTGCCAATCCCGTAGTCTGGGGCCTCATCACCACCCAGCTCCCTCCTCCCCCACACAGGTGGCTACACTGCCTGCCTAGCAGGTCTCCATACTTCGTCCCGTTCTAGTGCAGCACCTGACTCACACGGAGGGCTCAGCCTCTGCCGACCCACTCCCCACCTGCGTGGGGCAGACATTCTCACTGACTACAGCCCTACCACTCATTCTATGGGCTTCGAAAGGTCAAGCTATTGTAATGGCTATTTTTTTCTTTTCTACGAAGAATAGGAGGTCTGGTAGCATAGAGCCTAAGGCACTTGACTGCTAACCGAAAGGCTGGTGGTTCAAACCCACCAGCTACTCCTCAGAAGGAAGATTGGGCAATCTACTTCCATAGTGATACTTCCTGGGAAACCCAAGGAGGGGTCACTACAAGTCAGATCTGACTCAACAGCAGTGAATAGTTAGTTTAGTTACAAAGAATATGTTCTGTAAACTTTTATAAGGATTTTCACCGTACTGTTCATAACAAGATTTCATCATAAACCAAAAACCAAACTCACTGCCATCGAGTCAATTCTGACTCATAGTGACCCCTCCTTGGGTTTCCGAGGCGGTATCACTACAGAAGTAAATTGCCCCATCTTCCTTCCGAGGAGTGGCTGGTGGGTTTGAACCACCAGCCTTCTGGTTAGCAGTCAAGTGCCTTAGGCACTATGCTACCAGAGCTCCCAAAAGGAAGATTGGGCAATCTAATTCCATAGTGACACGACCTCAGAAACCCAAGGAGGGGTCCCTATGAATCGGATCCTACTCAATGGCAGTGAATTAGTTTAGTTACAAAAAATACATTCTGTAAACCTTTACAAGGGTTTTCACCATACTGCTCATAACAAGATTTCTTCATAAACCAAAAACCAAACTCACTGCCATTGAGTCAATTCCGACTCACAGCAACCCCTCCTTGGGTTTCTGAGGCGGTATCACTATTGGCAAGTAGATTTCCCAACCTTCCTTCCAAGGACTGGCTGGTAGGTTTGAACTGCCAGCCTTCTGGTTAGCAGTCAAATGCCTTAGGCACTATGCCACCAGAGCTCCTCAGATTTCATCATAATCCATATTAATTTGGGCCGAAAATCACCGCCTATTTTTGGAAGAGGCGAGAAATAAAGAAGCAAAGACACAGCCCCACCAAACACTTGTACGCAGGTTACTGGCAAAGATTATAATATGGAGGAGTGCGTCCTAGGACCACTTGGCGAGGTGGAAAGGGGGCCAGTCTTAGATGAACACTGTGTAACACAGTCAAAGAAAGGAACAAGCCACACTTCGACCACAGTACAAGTAACACTGTACTCCAGTCTCCCACCTCCCGACCAGTCCTTGTTTCCATCTGCTTCCCAGCCCCTCTGGACTAAGACAGAAATGACAAAGCACAGAGCCACCCCCATGTGCCCATTTCCAGAGTGGAACTGGGAAATGTGAGCACTCAGAAGCCGGCTGTTTCCTACGATCCCCAGCAGCCGTATGCGGTCCGGGCTGGAACCCTGTCCCCACTTCTGGAGGCCTCTTCAAATTGAACTTCCAAGGCCTGGGCCAAACTCCCTGCAGACTCCATCTCTGTGTGTCTGGCAAGCTGTGTGGTCAGGAGACGCCGGCTTCTGCGCACTGGGCTCCAACCTCCATCAGGGCTCAGCACACAGATGCCACTGCTCGCACCTCGGCCGTCCTCCCCAGTCCAGCACAGACACCCTCCTCCCAGGGTGCTAGGAGACACCAAAGCCCACCTCCTGGGCTGAGCAAGAAACTTGGAATTCATACCCTAAGAAAAAAAGCAACGAAAACCGGGCCAAATTCCCACCATCCACGGCAATCAGAGCTGCCCTCCAGCACAGCCGACTGGCTGCTTCACACGATCAGGGTCCTGGGCCTCTGCAATTTCATTTTCCACTAGGAGAAGGCCATTGAGACCCAGCCATTGTGCTGGGCACATGTGCACAGCTGAACACATTGAAGTCCCAAGGCATTTCGAGATGGACGGCATTACCTGCATCTTACAGGTGAGAAAGATGAGGCTTGCTTAAAAACAGACCAAACCAAACCAAAAACAATCTGCCCATGCTAACATGTAGGAGGTTTAACTTTTGAGATGTGCTTTAAAAAGAAACTTAGTGCATGTCTGAGCTGAAAACAGCACAGTTTCCACAAGAGCACGTGAGGCTCACACACCTCACCCAACTGTGTTACTGTGCACACCGAGGTTCTTCACTGTCTGCAGGGCTTCAAACCGGTTCATTCTGGTTCCACCACTGCTGAGAATTTGCCTTTCCAGCCCAGACTGAATCAGAATCTACATCTTAAGGAGAGCCCCCACTCTGCTGCCCTTTGCCCTTTCCTTCTTCCTGTCTTCAACAAGCTCATGGCTACCCATGGGAGGGTCCCGGTGAGGCCAGGAGGATGAACGGGCCTGCCCCTTTCCTTGCTGCTTCACGTCACTGCTTCACCTCACCCTCCACCTTCCTGAGGCTTTGGGAAGCAGGCTCCTCCCCAGGGGCGCATTCTTAAGATCATCTACTACCAGTTTAAACCTGTTCCAGGTCCTTACTTCCAAGTGACCTTCTGGGAGGGCTCTGACCCAAGCAGTGCCCCGGGGCACCCTACTCCATCCCTTTCATCTGCCTGGGCTCTTAAGCAAAGCAGCAGTAATCACACCCTCCCTCCCAACCCCACACAGTCAAAAA